TGAAGAAGTCAAAATGATAGCTAGAATAGTGAAATAACGGTAAAAAAAAATGATTTTTTGAGGTGAAAAATTGCTATCAAATAGGGTCTTAAATCTATTTTGAAATGCGACTTTGTTAGTTGGCGCGTCACATAAGATGATGACACGTGGCCGACTATTGGCTATTAAATCTTGCTTTTTGGATTATTCTAATTGATTAAAGTGTTTAATCTAACCTTTTTTGTGGGGATTAAAATAAGATTTTTAATAGAAATTGATGAAATGTATGGTTAAAAAGTTGTGGGACCCATAAAATATGTGATTGAAATTAATTGTTGATTTTGACTTAAATTAAAATCTAATTTTTAATTGATACCAAATAGGGGACTACTTTCAGCTCATTTCACTCGATTATTTCTGGTGTTTGATTTTGAGAGAAACCCCTCTTTTATTTTTAGGGATCTTCATCTCTTTCGAAAATTTCATTTGTGATACTCAAATCTTCTACTCCCTTTCTGATTTTTGGTTTGAATCTTGGTGGAATCAATCAGGAAATGGTGTTTCCTCATGTAATATTCAGAGAAGGGTTAGGTGTGGTTTGCTATGTTCTTGGTGTGCAGTAGCTGGATTAGTTCAGACTTCTTTGGAAGATGAATCTTCCATGGCTTGATCTTTGTATATCTTTAATGTTTTGTAACATTAGTTGTCGTTTTGAGCTGTTATAGTGCAAACAAGCATTATGTACTTTTGTAGCTGCTCAACAAGAGACTAGGTGTTACAAGCGATAATCGAATCATTAGGATTTAAGTCGAAAAGTTCTTGTGTTTGTTTTAATTTTCTGCACTTCTAAGTTTTTTATGATTAATTGAATGTTCATTTATTTTTGGGCATAACAATATTCTTCCTCGTTTTTGATTAAAAATGACAGTGTTGTCCCGTCTTACCAATTACCATTGGATTTCACAAATCTCATAACATTTAAAACGTGTTGATTTTGAAAAAGCCAGCAAATTTAGAATATCAAACCTTCATTGATTTACAATTGAGTACCGAATAATCGATTCTAAATGTAAATCGTTGATTCCAACATAGACCGAGTCATGAGATTGGAGAAAAAGGCTTTTGTTCATAGTCAATCAAAAACCATAAACCATATAGTTGGCTGCACCTTGAATGGGATTTCTTTCTTCCATTCTATCCCATTTAATGATAGTGACCATTGTAAGTGATTTTCTTGCTTTTTTGTTTTTGATTTTTTTTTTTTTGGGTGCCAGCTCATGATCTAAACTTGTCGCTTCTTAGAGAAATTTGTCAATACTAGATCCCACTTACTAGATTTATTGGTGGTTATAAAATTGACTCCAATTAAATAAAATGACATTTAGACTCTTTATTAAATTAAATAACAGGATTAATCATAGAAAAAGTCTTGGATCTTTATATCATCAAATGGCTTGCTGTAAAACCAACAGTTGACCTCAAAATCCGATCGGTGGACCTTTTTCGATCAGTTATCTTTGCCTCTTAATAGGGTGATCAAGTGATACCCATGTGGAAAAGAGGTGGCCAAAATTTCCACTAGCCACTTGATCCGCCGGATTTTGAGTTTGATATCAATTTCAATGGAAATTGTTCTTAACTCCTTCAATTAAGCTTTGTAGAAATTACATAATTCTAGGTGTTTAAATATGACAATTCAAAATTCAGGGATGGAATTTCATTTATTCATAAATAAGGTATCAATATAAATGAGCCCTAACCCTAAATCATTTTAGTTTTTTCTTCTCCTTCTTCTCTCTACTTCTCTCCCTTCTCCCTCTCTCATTTTATCTCTGATCTCTCTCTTCTACGCCGGCAACTCATTCAAACTTCGACAATCGACGATGGAGGAGCTGCAACGGCCGACAGATGCTGCAAAGCGTGCTATGTTTGTAATCCATTAGCGATGCTGCTATCCTTTGGTGCTGACGGCGTGTGGAGGGGATTTGGGATTTTTTTTCTCTCTCTCTTTCCGATTTGAGAAGATTGTGGCGGCGATTTGGGGATTATTGGTAGATTTGGTGGTTGCGTTCACAAAAGTCATGGTGGCTCTACATAGCACAACTCTAATTTTGGATCGAGTTGGGCAATGTTTGGTGGTGATGGTGTTGGTGGTTTCTGGCGGCCGTGGAGGTGTTAGTGTTGGCAGGGGATGATGTGGGTAGTGTTGGTGGAGTTGTGGGTTAGGTATTATTGATGTGTTTGGTGGTGGCAGTCGTGGTGGTCTTTGATGACGGAGGTAGTTGTTGGTGGCTATGATTGTGGTTGTCCTTATTTTTGTTTGCATTTGATTTGTTCTGGTGGTGGTGCTATTGTGGTGGCGGCGACGATAACAATAGTCATGGTGGTATGTGACCATTATTTGGCATATGTAACCAATTATTTAATTATCTGTGACCAACAGTTTAATTGTGACCTAAATTTTAATAATCTGTGACCAATTAATTTGATCTTGAAATAATTTGTGACATCTAAATTTTTTATTTGTGACTTCAAAATAAATTGTGATATATAAAATTTTTGATTTGTGACCTAAAATTGATCTATGACTAATTAATTTGATTATATGTGACCAATAAATAAATTATGATCTATAATTGTATATCTGCGATCATTAATTTTATAACTGTAATTTTATTATATTTAATTAATAAATATTTTTAATTAATTAAATATATACTTGAATTTTGAATTTTCAAACTATTTACCTAACTTTTGAATTGGCGTAAATAATACACGTGTTATGAATTTTTCCCTTAAGCTTTTACCTCTTAGATTGTAGGTTGAGCCAAAGCTAAATCATTTCCTATTCCAATTCAACATACACTATCAAATCTAGATGCACTCCCGAATAAAAAGTACATTATCTCTTGTTGACGGGGACGGTTGATAATATTATTTTTAATGTTCTAAAAAGTGTAAGACGTAACAAAACAAGGTCAAATCTCAATCCTCAAAGTCTAGGTGTAAAAAGGCATTTTTATTTTAATATTATTTAATAATTTTATGTCCATAAAATATATAAAATAATGTATATCAAACAACTAAACTATTAAATACTATAGTTACTTGATAGTTTTTACAATTGGACAATTTCAAATTTTCCAAAACTAAAACAATTGAAATTAAAGGCAAGACCTTTTAGATAAATGTCTAAAAATTCGCCCATACTAATTTAGCGCATGGGCCCACATTAACCATTAAGTCCATGTAATGGCTCCAATAAATTGTAGAAAAAGTTAAGGAAAAAACTATGTACAAATTTTAAAAGAAACGGCACGCAGTAGGCTGTCAGAAGAGGAGTTGACGCCTTTTTCCTCACATTGGCCTTGTTCAAGGTACTTTAAAAGAAAAATGAGTGTACGGTAGATGCTGTATGGTCGTTTTGACAGTCCACTCACAACCTTGCGAGTGTAAGTGGGACTTGTGATTATTTTAATTGCGGAGCCCACTCGTGTAATGTGAAATGACTGTAAAAAATGATGTAAAAATGTTGTACACCTAGCATGCTTCATTTTAAAAACATGTAATGTTAGATAGTAATCAATAGCACGAACAAGGGTTATCAGCTAATCGATTCCTACAATTTTCAGGCCCTGAAAACTCCACTGATACAACTTGGAAATTTCATTCTCATCACCTATAATTTGGCTAGAGACAGTATCATCCAGTCCCTCCTGAGCTTGGCTTGATTCACTGAGGTAGAATGTCACAACCAATGTCGTTCCCTGAAGATGATGGTTTATAAGAACACAAACGTACTCCATGCACTAAATCCTTCACGACATAACGAAGTTCACTACTAATCTTGACTTATATTGAGAGGCTCATTACTTCAATTGAGATAAATGCAAATTTAATTGAGGACACCACGTTTGAGTTGAATTTTCCCCACGTCACTGGCAAGTTAGAATCGAAATTATTAACATCGGGCCCATAATTTTCATTGATGTTCCCCAGTCAACGATCAACTTGCTCCACCGAAGTCATAAAACCGTCTTCCACGTCTGCCTCAGTGCACAAGAAACCGATAAGGATGATTCTGCACCATGTATTTCCTTCTCCATCAAAGTTCACCAGGAATTGAAACTGTTTGCTCTTGGCCTACCACCACTAGACATAACCTATACAGGGATGGACTGTGCAATATGTTGTCCAGTACCAAGACTGCCCTGATCTTTTGAAAGATAAAACTACTTGAGCAGACCCATCCAGCTCTTGTGCCAAAACCGCCATATCGAAAAATGAATCCAAACAATCAAACGCTAATTCAATCTCTGATCTAAAACGTGTATTCTACTTAAAAAAGGCCATAGGACAATTCTAAACAAAATATGAGTCTTTCAACCAAATGAGAGATAATATTCTTTAAAAAGTCAATAATGATAAATTTACGATCATATGACCAACCTTAATTTCACCTGTACATCCAATTGATATAAGAATTTTTCGAATCTTTAACAATGGTGGCGTACCATGTGAGAGTGAAGTGAAGCAAAAGGATTATTTCCAAGACCTTTTGGCATTTGAAGGTAAAAAAGCTTGTTCATGGTGGTGATGTATGGTGATGACTAATGAGTGGGTGGGCTGGTGTGATTTCAATGAATCTCAAGGTTTAGAGGGTGGTGGCTATGGATTTCTTCATTGTCACCAATGAATTAGTAGTGACAAAAAATTTCAGAGGCCATTCATCAATAAACGGATCCACCGTAGGGCTTGTTTCACCCACTTGACCACCAACACTTGCCATAGAGGAAATAACTGTAGTGCTTTATGCAATGGGGTACCATGAATCTAACAACACCAAAACGACCCTGATACGAGAAAGCCATTTCGAGTGCGGTAGATCATAATGGTGCTCCACAAACACAATCACAATAATTGCCAACACAGTGAAATGAAAGCACATAAAACATATCAATTTCTTGGTTCAAGCCCAAAATGGAACATCAACCAAAAGCCCATCAAATAGTAAGACCAAGTGAATTAACGTTTCAAGACTCAGATTCATATCAGATGCATATCAATTCTCACATAATTTCACTTTATTACTTTAGTCATCAACCAAACAAAACAAAACAAAACAAAAAATACAACAGCACTCTTCAGCTCCGAATTAAAAAAAGAAAAGAAAAGAAAAGAAAAAAAATTACTTCATACACTGAATTTATCAATACCAGCATCATAACTTGAAAACCACGATGAAAATTCACAATAACAAAACCAAATATACAGAAACTTATGCACAACTGATGACTTAGCTTAAATAATTCATAATGTAATATCAATTACCATCGTCTTCCCTTGGTTGTTCGGAAGATTGATGCGCCTGACCGGATAGTGATGCAAGCAAATTGAGATGGTGCCCCTGTACTTGAGCTATGGGTAAATAATTACCAATCCTTGCAGCTGATGCCTCTCCCATTCCCGGTGGTTGTTGCTGCTGCAGAAACCTAAAGGAAGAAGAAGGCTGCTGCTGGGCAATGCTCCAAACTTGCCCAAAATCCGGCCTAGTCGGCAAAGCCCAGAACCCTCCAGGAGCCACCGAGGAACCCATGTCTTCTTTGCTGAGATGATGGTGGTGATCATCGTCGTCCGGTCGGAGCCGCTTCCCGAGAATGAAGTTGGTTGGAGAAAGCTGAGAATGAGGGACGGAGGAGTTCCGGGTGGAGGTGCAGACGGTGGCGAAACTAGCAGGGGTGGTGCCGCTGCCGGTGGCAGCTATAATTGAAGGCTCCGCGTGACGGAGAAGCCACTCGATAGTCTGTCCATCGGACTTGTGGCCGAGCTCACGGGTGAGCTGGAAAACCCTGGCGGCGCAGATTATAGGCATGCGAATGCGGCGGCCTCGGCCGTCGACCTTGCTGTGGCGGTCCTTGGCGGGAGGCTTCTTCACTTGCAAACCGCCGTTGGTTGTGGTGGCGCCTCCCAGAGAGGACAGCGTCTGTTTCTGAGAAGGATCAATAATGTCAAGTCCACTACCATTACAGTCAGCTGCCGACATTGACATAGTAGTCTATAGTACGAATCTATTCAATTTCTGGTATAAAATAGAGATGAGTAGGGTTTTGGGGAATGTAAATAAATGGAAATTGAAATGGAATTAGGGTTTTTGTTCAGGGTTGAGACGGAGAGAGTAATGATTGAGGGAGGGAAGCGGCAGGAACTGGTGGAGACAGGGGAGGAGCACATGGGTGGTGGGGTCTATTCTCTTAGTAGTAAGTAAGTACTTTCAATTCCCAGCTCACTCGTGTCCTCAAGGTGTCGGTGTTGCTGACGATAAAATGCCCGATTAAAAATTTAAGCTATTTAAAAAAACGACGAGCATCATTTATGAGTAATGCCATTTAACATTGGTAATTCCTGACGTAATCCTAAGAGCATCCTCGTATAAGATAAAAATTTAGATTTATAAACCTCCGGGGTCCTATCCGCACGTCGTAAAGGGAAGTCTACAGGGAAGAGAATCGCATCCCGAATAGTCGACCTAAATATATATAAGTTGTGACCGCCTCCGAATTTATTTGGATGACAAACTAGAGAGGAAAATCGTCACTCTTCAGAATTAGTCAAGCATGATTTGGACACCTGAGTTATCAAATAATAAATTAGATCTATAAAGTGATGAAAACCTTTTCAACGGAGATATATATGAGATGTATGTTGTATTTTCCCATAGAACATGTAAAAAAGAGGTAAATTTACATTTTTTTTTTTTTTTTTTTTTTTATATTCACATGAGATAAAAAGTGGATTTAGATTTTCTCATTGAAGTAAAATTTAAATTTAGAACCATTGAAATGTAAATGATGATGTAAAGGTAATTTTGAAAATACTAATTTACACCCAATTTTAAATCATCATTAGAAATGCTCTAAATGATAGTACCTATTGTCCAAATATTGATATACTTTAGTGTTTATTGAATATATATATATATATATATATATTCTTTTTAGGTTACTATCTTTATTGTGTCATTGATAAAAAAAAAAAAAAGATTTTATTTTTTTTTTTCCCAAAAAAATTTAAAAAAAAGGTAAATTTTCATTTTTTTTTTTTTTTTTTTTTTTATATTCACATGAGATAAAAAGTGGATTTAGATTTTCTCATTGAAGTAAAATTTAAATTTAGAACCATTGAAATGTAAATGATGATGTAAAGGTAATTTTGAAAATACTAATTTACACCCAATTTTAAATCATCATTAGAAATGCTCTAAATGATAGTACCTATTGTCCAAATATTGATATACTTTAGTGTTTATTGAATAATATAATAGTGACGTCGTCATTATTTAAACTGGTGTTACACATCGCTAAAATGTTCCTTTACATGAAGGTGAGTGAAATTTGAACTCGGGACGCTTATTTACTATGTTAACTCATCTGATATAAAAGCTCGATAAATTATAGATGGTTACATGAATATCATTTATAATTTTGAAAACTCTTTCTTACTATTCAAAATAATGGAGTTTTCGATACTCATCCAGTTTGGACTCTTGCTTGAATTAGAACCCTAGCGTGTTGATAAACTGTCGACTCGATCTAACCGATGTTTAAGCATTTTTCTCCCTCCAAAACTCATTTTTTCTAAAGTTCATTTTCAATAAAATAATTTTACACATAAATCCAAAAATTTTCTCTATTTTTTAATAACACATTTTTCAAAAATAAAAAATAAATCACTATTTTAATATCTACTCCCCAACCCTTGTTTGATTTACATTATTTTTAAAATACATTTTTCTCTCTTCTTTTCAACCATATATTTTTCAATAAAATAATATTATACATAAATTCAAAACCCTGTCTAATTTCTTAACCACATATTCTCCACCAATTTACTATTTCAAAATATATTTTTCAATAAAAATCAAACAAGCCAATAACCTACCTGTCCAACACCAATAAAAGAGGGCTTTTGCATTAACTTTTTCACATCACCAAAAAAGGGTAACATAAAAGAAAAACATCAAAAGTAGAGTTAAGATAACTTTGGTGTTTTGGCACTTTGCCAAACCTTGTCATTGTTCCATTTAAAAAAATAAAAAAAAAATAAATAAAATTGCATGTTTGGCAAAATTTTAAAACATTTTTTTGAATACCTTAAAAAATATATCAATTCTATTTAATTCATCTTGACACCTAATTTAGTCCATTTTTTGACTTCAGATTTTTTGAAACTCACTTTCCTTCAAACTCATTTTCAATTACATATTTCAATAAAATAATTTTGTACGTCACCCAAAGCTTTTTTTTTTCCTATTTTTTTTTTAATGACACGCTCAATAAAAAATTAATTTTCACAAAATCCTATTATAAAAAATTCACATCAAATAGAAACTTATTGCAATTTTTGGACATTTAAATCTAAAAAAAGAAGAAGATAAACTCGGATTTTAATAAATTTATTTAAATTTGAATTCTCATAAACTTCATGGATTTCAACATGATTGCATTGTATCTATAAAATTTTGACACAATTATATATAAGTGTACAACAAATTTTGTGTATTAAAATTAAAAAAAATTATTACAAATTGAAATTTTATGAAATATAAAGCGGGTTAATCATCTTGTTACTACAAAATTGCAAAATTCTATGATTAACAATCTGGGTATCGAAGACGTTAAGGGGCCACATGGTTTGAATCTTGAATTTCAATGCTTTACTTTGACTTTCATTTGTTGATAACTTTGCTTAAAACTTCGACTTCGGACATTGGACTAAACTTTAAATTTGAAATTTGAACTTATTTTTAGAGAAGACTTTAATCTCCTTGGAATTTTGGGACTCAGAGAATTCCTTCTCCTTTTCCCTTGACCTGGAATTACTTCCCAGGACTTCGAATTTCCTCTTCTTCGTTTCTCCTTGGACTCCTATATTTATTATTATTATTATTATTATTATTATTATTATATTATTATATGCATTTCAACTTTATCATTTGTGTAGGACTACATGTATAGAGAAAGTTGATAGCCATCTTTTATAACAACCCAATTATAAACTAATATTTTATTTTTATCAATAGTATAAAAAAATTTGACTTTAATATGGCCTGGAAATCCATTAAAATCTATTCGAATCCTTCCAAATAATGAAATACTTAAAATTTATGAATCATTGAGGATACCAAAATTTTATGGAGTCAATTAAAATTTGAAATTGACAACCCCAACTCTCCTCATTTTATGATTTCCTTTCCTTTTTCTTGTTCCTTGATTGTTGAATATAAGTTTAGGAGTATTCAATATTCCTCTTTCCTTTTCATTAATAAGAGCAATTAAACATTCTCGCTCTAATAGGGTATTTTGAGTTCAAACTCTCGAAATTTGAAATTTTAGAATTTTTAATGGACCTAGAATTGTCAAATTAACTCAAGATTGATAAGCTAGTCCCATTTTTCCTTGATGTGCAAATTGCTTATGGAATATTATTGATGTATTAGATAACAGTCGCATCTGTCAAAATGACATTATCAAAGTTGAAGTTGATAAAATCCTACTTATGGTCAACAATATCACAAATGTTGAATGAATTGATCATGATGGCAACGAAAAAGTTCCAAAACAGATTGATTGTAATAGTATAGTAATTGATTTTTTTTTTTATCAAAAAATTCTAGAAAAATAAATTTAATATAGACATTTGAAAGTTCTAAATTATTATTATTATTATTATTATTATTATTATTATTATTATTATAACTTTAAACATTTTTATTAAACAAAAATTGTTATTTTTTATTATTTATGTAATTTCACGTATTTGAAATTGGTGTAGAGCTCCCAAACTATCAAGATCGGCCCAAGCACCGTTGGTTAATGAAGAATAGCCAACTTATACACCACCATGTCATAATTGCAGCATTCAATCTCTCATTTTTAGCCTGGATGTCATTGCACTCTCATTCATCCCACATTTCTCAATTCTGCTTCTGTATGTGTGTAATACATATATAACTCCATCACAGCCATCTTGTCCGAGAAACTTTTCACTTTCATATTCGTTTTCGCTGGCGAGACTCCACCATTGCACTTCGTACGTAATTTCGTTCTTGATTCTATACAAACTCATCGACACATAGCACAAATAACTTATATTTATATGATATCAACTACCTAGAGATGAGATGTACAGAGAACGACTTTGTAAGCATCTCATTGGTAGTAATCACTTGTGTCGGCCTTGACTACAGTGGGATAGGCAATTGCTTAAATCTCCACGTTACTAGGGTCCCAAAAATTTTTATTATATATATTTTATTTATAAATAATAAAGAAAACTTCTTAAAAATCATTATACTAAAGAATCTTTTAATTTTTTTTGTTCTTATATATAGTTGATTAAACTCTTTCTTCAACCTAAGTTGAACAATTTAAAAAATATGAAAGTACTTTAGATTTCTATCCGAATTAAAAAAAACAAAATAGCAAACTGCATATTATAATGTTTGAAATGTTGACGTGATAAGCTTGAATTTTCAATTTTTAATTTTTTTTAATTTTTTATATTTATTTTTTAATTTTTAAAGCATGAAAGGGATTCAAACATTAATGATCACAAGTTATTTTTGTTAAAAACTGTTTGCCAAAAGACATCAAATAGGTGATTTAAGTTTTATACTATATAAAAATGGATTTTTCATAATATGTGAGTTGTTTATGGAATATTATTAACTGTACCAATTACAGTTGCCCCTTTCGAAAGGAACTTCTCGAAATTAGAGTTAATAAAATCCTGCATTTGATCAACAATGTCAATAAAAAATAAAAATAAAAAGAAAGAAAAAAAGAAGAAGATTGAATGAAGTCACATTGGTATTTATTGAAAAAGAAATTTTAAAACAAATTGATTGCAATTATAATTGTTGATTTTTTAATCAAAAAAATCTACAAAAGTAAAATTAATTTATACATTAAAAAGTTTTAGATTATTATTTTTGTAATTTTCTTTGATTTACATTTTTTTTTTAAGCCACAAAATATAGTGGGTACACCGAAACATGTTCTAATTTTTTTATGGATCCAGTGCACCAAACGCAATCTTATTGTATTAATGTGTGATAGGTTGTACCTAATGTTTTCAATGAATTCCATTTGCAGAGGCCGACTGGGTTTTTGGTGGCAGCCGGAGGAGGAGGATGGAATGCGCTGATTATGGGTATTCGGTCTGGTTTATACTGTAAATCAGGTTTAAGCTGTTTTGTTCTACTATAAAAGACTAGGATATAAAAAATGTTGCCAATGAAACAAGATCTACAATATTCTTTTTTCATCCAAGTACAGAATGAGAGTAAGAATAGATGATCAGGCTATATATCATAAGGTTTTAGCGTAGAACCTGGCGACCCAAGGGGCAAGTTCAGTGCAGTTTGGTGTTCTGGGATTTACGGCATAATAATCAGACCAATAGCATGGAGAAAGTTTCTCTGCAAAACATCCATCAGCGTAAATGCAAAATGGCAGCCAATCATCGCCTCCATTCATTCTCCTTTTACGTTCCCTTGGATAAGCTAAGGGCGCCTGCACATACCTGCATTAATTTTCCTCTTAGCTTAACGACTTTTATTCTTTGCAGAGGCCATAGCTCGAGCTAGGGGCCAATGCAAATAGACAACATTACTCATGCAACAATTAGCAAGAAATGATCACTAAACTTGAGTTTGTGGAAATAAAAGTACCTGATACCATCAAGCGTGGTATCCCAACAAAAATGAGTATGACCAAACACATGACATGCTGATGCATTCCCAACATCTCCATGTATAGATCTTATTCGGGTTTCAAGGAAATTAGAGCCAATGATTTTTGGAAGGTTTGGATAGAAAAGCATTCTCTTTTCTGGGCATAGCTCTAGCCTGCATGGAAGAGTTTATAAGAGCCTATCAGATAACTGGCAATAATTCATTATAATATTCTAGATATGTTTCACAACACTCCATTAAAAACAGTATGCTATACGTGTTAATGCAATATGACAAGAGTTGTAAAACATCAAATTCAAACTGTAAGCATTCTATTCAAATGGAGTTTTTAAGTATTGCGATATAAATGCCAGTATTGGAACGTTATAAGGGATCAAGAACCAATTCCAGACAAGGGTGGGTTCCTGTAAGAGATGATATTGTTTCTCAAGCACATACAACTTACCCAATGTCCACCAAGTTTTTGGCTTTACGTTTTCTAGATCAGATCAAGCAACTTTTTCAACATGACAACAACATACTAAGATTTGTTCCCAATAACAAACTAGCGAAAGTTTTCTTCTAGTAAAATATGATAATCATACAGGACAGAAAAATATATCAGCAATTGCACAGGAAATAAGTAGTAAAACACCAAGATATCATGCATGACATCTGGGCATGCGTACAAAACCTTTCAGTCAACAGATTAGCAGTTACTGTCTGAATTGAATACATAGAAAATGTACATGAAATGCAGAGCTTGATAATTTACAGATATACATCTGTAAGTCCTTGTTGAACAACCAAGCTATTAGAGGATGAAAATAAATTCATTAAAGCCTTTAACACACTCCCTATCGTACCGGTTAGCTAAAAAGCATGGAAATGGATACGTAATTCGAATACAATATGATACAGGTATGCTGATATGACTTTAAAAATTAATATAAAAAAAAAAATTAAAATCGAAGAACAATAATAAAAATAAAATAAAATACTAAAACATTTTATCTTAATCATTAATTGTCCCAACTTCATTTTCTTCAACATCATTAATATCAATTTCTTCATTATCATTAAAAATAACTCCCTAGCTCTTCATCATCTAATGATGGGTTAACAACCTCAAACAGTCAAATACTTTCAAGAGTATCAAATGAGTTTCTGACAATGTCCCACATTATGGATTCTCCTTTTAGATAGAGATCTAATTTTTGATAAAAGATGCAAAATACTATGAATGAAAATTAATTGTTCAGCTCGTTGTGAAGTTATTTTATTCCTTCTCATAGAACGCACCAAAGAGAACATACTCCAATTTCTTTGTGCACAAGATGAGAAGGTTGCACAAGAAACGTCAAAGCAATGTTTTGAAGCAAAGATGCATGCGAATCATGAAGTTGCCACTACCAATTAATGATAGAATCAAACACATCATAACATTCTACTTCACGTGTCTTAAGGTATTGGATACATATAAAAAATAATTAAAAAATATGTATTCGGTATGTATTAAAAAATCAAAAAATATAAAAATAATAAAAAAAATGTATCCAATACGTATCAAAGGATATTAGAGAGTATCCAAACTTCGATAGTATCGTATACAATACGTAATGAGTTTACAAGTATCCGTGCTTCTTAGATGGTTATATTCGTTTTTTTTTTTTTGTAAAAGACATCAACATGTACAATTTCCATAAATAGTTGAAAGCAAGATTTGAACTTAATACATGTTAGTATACCATGTTGACAACCTCATCTAGATGATCAAGTTATTACAAGGCAAAAAAGATTATTGACTTCTTTGTCTTCAACAATAATGTCTTTTCAAAATATCAATACTTAAACAAATCGGAAATGTTTGAACTAAAATAATGCATTTCCTATTGCTGAGCAAAACCTCGGGCACAGTCTCTCTCTCTCTCTCTGATTGTTCACATTTGAATACGTTTTATCATTGTTTAAAAAACAAACGAATTGGGGAAACGGCAACTAATATCATAATTTAGGTTTTTGGTCTTAACAAAATGATGACGTTTGACTTTATAACAGATCCAGTATCTTGAACACAATTGTAACCTATAAGGGTGCGTTTGGTGCATCATATAGGACAGGATACAGATAAATATATACAATATGATTTTGGTTAGACGGTACCCAGATCAAATTAATCCAGCAACTTTTCCTACCAAGACCAACCTGATAAATGTAATCAGACAGGGGGCACTTGGGTCTAGTGCGGATTCTATTAAATTGTGAAAAACCTTGCACAATCCTAATTACAGATATCTCATCAAAAAAATTTCTCTTACGTCTTTTGCAATCGTCACTCAACTTCTTGCAACAGTCTTTCATCACCGCACCAATGCTTCCATCTCTTCACTCAATATATCGCCAAACTATCTCATTAACAAAACAGTTTTTCGAGAACCAATGATACTTTCTTTTAATTCGACATCATAACTTAAGATATTCTCGGTGAACTTTCTTAAGGTGGTCATCGCTTGATTTTTTTGTATATCAGCCTGATAGGCCACCAATTAAGTACACGTATTCTAGAAGATCCAAGAATAAAGGGTGGAATGATGACAGCAACTGAATTCTGTAAAGAGGGCCAGTATTGTAACCAAATTCTGTTTTAGTGCACTTATAAATGCTGGACGAGAGAATAGAGGAAGGCATATCTTAAGTGAGAAAAATCATCAGTAGGAGAGAATATCAGCCCTCTCGAAAGGCTGTAGACATTTTCTATTTTCTGTAATTCAGCATTCCATCAATATATTTCTATTTAGTCTCATTTACAATTCTCTTTCGATAGTTTTGATCAGGATCTTAACACAGCCAATCAAAAATACACTATTATGTTCTCTGTTTCCGTACATGCGTTGTGGTGATGAGGGGGGAAGGGGGTCGCAGTATCATTAACAAAGGTTTACCTATCATTACCTCTTTTATGAGTTAGATTAGATCTATGGTGTCGAGTTTTTTCATTTTTTTCTGTCACCATAGGCTATCATTTTAATTACTATTTGGTCTTCAATTACATTATCTGTTTTTGTGTAGTTTTGTTTTTCTAATCTTTTCGGGCATAAATTTTGTTTTCTAATCAATTAGGATCAGGAAAGTTGAGATTTGGTTCTGTTTGTTTGTACAGATAGCATTGTCTATGAACTTTCCCTTTCCCTCTCTCTCTTTTCTGAATACAAAATAAAACTCATTAGGACCATTTTGTGCTTACGTATTACTAATATGAACACCAAATGCCTTTGCTAAAGGGCGTAGGATAATGTCTGAATAATTAGGACCATATTGATAATTCCGTTAGAAGCTCTAATTAATTAGTTCAAGTTTCACCTTGGATTACTTTGATTGCATTACAAATTTAATAGATTTATATTATTCAATATTTATTAGTAAATAGTCATATTTATTTTATATGAAATTGCATTAATTATTATTGTTATAATTTTTTTATTCTCAAATACTTATTTATTCTTCTAATATGGTGTAGCCCCCAAACACAATATAATAACAACAATACAGTTTCTAAAATGCGTAATGTGTGGCAACGTGTTTAGATTGAGCATCAAGCATTACAAACATATGCGTACCTATGTGAAGCATAAACATATTTATGCATTTTCCAATTTTAAATATTCAAAACTAATAAATAAATAAAATAATGAATTCTTTGGACTTTATACATATTCTTCAATTTTTTTAAAAAAAATATATTGCTCAAATCATAAATACTATAATTACTTGGTAATTAATTCCTACAATTAGATTAGACATCGAACACTGGCTTAAAAAATCCTATATCTTGTCAAGCTCTGTATCGGTTATCTTCCGTTATGCAAATCATTTTCATCAGACTCCATTATTTCAACTCGAAAATTTCTATTACCTCTTGTAAATGGTAAGATATCATTTTCAACCTCCTCATCATTACAACCATCAACAATCCAAGATTATACACTACTAGCATCACTTGCTAGTAAAGTATCAAATTTATCCTTCCTCATATTTTTGTTCATCAACCTCGCATTAAATTGAACATAAATTAGATTGTTCATTTTTGTAGCACCTAGATGGTTCCTCTTCTTGGTATTGTGAAGGAGGGGTGTAACTTGGATCATATTGACCAAGAGCTTCAACAAAATTTGTAAAATTATCATTGTTAATAGCATTAAAAGGAACTCCGACTTCATATGCCCATCAGCCAAATATTGATGAATTTCTAGATTCTAGTGACCTTTTCTTAGCAATTGCATCATTGATATTTTGTTTGTTATTTTCTTACTTGCAGTCATAGAAGCATCATAAAACTTAATTGGCCTTGAAAAATTATCCATGGGACTTGTATGAATAGGCCTTTTCCTCCCTCCTTCTATGATAAAAGTTTCTTCCTCGCGTGTAGACAAAGGCACAACTATATCTTCTCTCAACTTAGCATTATTCAATATCTTCTCTCACTTCTTAGACTTAATGTCTTCAAGTGCTTCAAGACACTTCACCTTTTGCTCTTGACTTGCTTTAGGATTACGGTTTCACACCCATTACTGTAATGCCCGCTATGTGCACTTTATACATATTAATCCCAGCCTTCGTAACTTTATCACATAATGTGCATCTCATATCATTAAGTTTACTAATATCTTCAACAATTGCAGTTTCCCCTCCAACATCCACGAAATTTTTTCGGCTATCTTCAGAAATAGAATTAGTGCCATGATGGAATCATTTTGCCCCATTAGTTCCTAGTAAATTGAAGAATAAATTTGATAAAAAACTAAAACTTCAAAATCATTATAACCAAAAGATGGACAAATTTGATAAATACTTTTAAATTAAAAATCATAGGATAAAAAGGACCTTCAAAGTTATGATAAGGTAAGCAATACAAAAATGAAAAATGCATCTTCAAGTTTACACAACTTGATGAAGATCTCAATAATGCAACTAGAGAAAGACCGAAGAAGGAGGGCTCGACGTAGATAGTTTGCAACTTTATGAAAAAAAATTATTTTTGATTTTTCTAAACGTCCAAACCTTACAAATTACTATATATAATTTATGGGCTTTGGTGATTTGGGCTAATTTGATGTTTGTTGGGTTCAATTTGCTTTTTAAAGTTATAAAAATCGGCAAGACTTAGCTAGGCTAATTTGGACAGAATTTTTATCACAAATGCATATGCATTTTGGCATTTAAGCGCGCATATGCAGTCAATGAAATGGATTGATCTAATTATCACGTGCATATCCATATGCTTGACGTTTCAAAAACACCCAAGCATATGCACAAGCATTTTGGAAACTGATGATAATACATACGCGCGAGCATTTTAGAACACTGGCAATAATACACTCCAATCCAACATCATAAGACACACCCCAATATTATCCTCATTACACTCTCCACTCCAATACTAACACTCCACTATCCACCATAATACAGTGTAGTGTACGGTGTCCCAAACACACTAAGGGGATAGAAATTATCTAAAAGTGGATATCCAATGTTTTTACCCAAAGTTTAATTTTGCATGAAACCAGTACTTACAAATTTAGCAAAAGAGATAAAAGTTAATCTGAATATGAGTTGCTCTGCATATTGCATTTTAGATCAACAACATGAATATCTCTTTCAAAGCTAATATAGCTTCTTATCAACATGAACTATTGCATCCTACCGGACCTACCCCTTGTAATCTTTTTCTTCTCTTTATTTCTGTTTAACCCCCCCCAGATGTGTTATAGTGTCAACGAGTACTTCTAACTTCATCATCATTTTCCACACTAACATGCACTCTCATACTCAAAAAAAAAAAAAAATCATCTTCTAGTTGAATTCAGAGCCGGACCTGATGGGAAGCCCAAGAGGCCTCTGCCTCAGGCCCAGAATTTTAGGGGGCCCATTTTTTACTTTTTACCCCCCCCCCCCCCCTTTTTTTTCATTCCAATATTTGTACAGGGTTTAACTTCTGTACATTTTTATCAAAATCATACAAAGGATGAGTCTGCTGTAGAAATGGGGAAAACAATATCAGCACTGTTATCAATTTCTAGTATTCTTGTGAGATATTTTGAAGAGAAGATGCATCTTACAACGTTAATGTTTCGTCACTGAATTTTAAAAGAGCTGTAAGTTGAGCCTATAGATAACAACAATAAAATACTGCAATTAATACTCTGGGAAAATGTAAATGCCAGGCTGGCATTGCCTGAACACTTATCTTAAATACCAATTTTGATGAATGCAATTTGTAAGGATAGCACGCATTTAAGTCGAGCAATGCACGCATCACTAATGTACTAAATGATGGTTGATAATTCTAAGTTCAGGCAAAGTAATTCACTGACCTAGGAATGAAATGGGAAAAAGACACTGTATGGCTACATCTCCTCTGGATATCTTTTACTGTGTTCCAATTCTTGTCATTCATAGAATCAAAATACAAAGCAAGAGATGATTCTCCATTTTCAAGTCCGTCGGGCCATCTGCACACATGGAAGTCCTTACATGCCTGAACAGTAACAAACCATAATGTTTAGCTCCTAGTATTTGGAAAAGAAAGGAACAATAATGTAACTAGTTAAATATATGAACAGAAAATTCTAATATTCCATCAAGCTTTTAGCCAGTATACTTTGACGGATTGATAAGGGATTCAATTATACTGTTTGATCAGGGTGCAGAAACATGGTAGAGTAAGAAAATTTGCCACCAATTCAGAACAGGGTTACATGCAACATGTCGATACATAAAAAAAGCTTATATCTGTATTTGCAGAGTAATAGAAAACTAGGGATCTCACTAATGTATATATTTAAAAACGCTTACTAGGAGAAAGAAAGTGAATCACCATCTCCAAGGACGGGATTCTAATTCCAGTTATGTCCCTTTCCTCATCAAAGCTCTGGAAGTAAGCCAGGTTATTGACAACAGAATTAGATATAAAGACTGGAAATGCAAATAGCATGTGAGAATAGCATCCAAAGTTTTAAACAATCTACCTCGTGGTACCAAGAGTATAATGGGATAATTCCCAAACCATCAACTATGCTGGGTTTAGTTTCTACTCCAAGTCTTTCACAAGCATCCAGTAATTTATCCAGCTTATAAAGAGAATCAAACTGAATATGGAGACAGCAAAACATTAGTTAGAAGTGTTCCTACAGGCTTTACAAACTAAGATAGCTAAAATTTTTGGTGACTTTAAAGGGTGAAAGTTCTAAATCTGACACAAATTATAATCAGAGAATATATAACTTCAACAAACAAGGGAGCATGACCTTGGCTTTGTCTGAATTGAAGACTTTGCAAAACATAGAGTAAGAAGGGGCTTAACAGAAACTCAAACTTATGAGACTGAAATTGCTGTCAAGTGTGGACGAACACCTCAAGAGTCAGAACTTTTGTAGAAGAAAAAATTGCAAATGCCAAAAAGTGTTCAACCCTAAATATATCCTTTCTTTCCGAGGTTACCAAGAGAGAAGTGTAGCTTATAGCCCTAGAACAATGTGGGAACAAAAAAAAAGAGCTGATAAAAAAGCATCAAGTAGAAATTAGTATCACGTGCCTACAAATAGTGGTATAGTAAAAATAACAATATTTTGTCACGTGGAACATAGTATTTTTATCATTGAAAGCCGTAACGATGAGAAAAACGTAGATATGTCCCATAACTCAAATGATTCTTGCTCTATTTCTTCAAATATCCTATTGTTTCTCTCAATCCAGATCGCCCAAAACTGAAACTATTAGTTTTCCACATGATTAAGGAACTGAGTCAAGGATCTAACAGTGAACTTAATTAACCTGGTATTTTGATAAACCCTGAGCTATATACAGTTTTTATGATTCTGCTTCTTGAAAGAATGTGCAGAAATTATTTGATTCGAACTGTGGCATATACCATAGAATTTAAACCTTGCTATTGTCAGTTCCAAAATAAAGCAAGAATCCCATGCAAATGTTCATCTACATTGTAATTTGTAACCAATACTTTTAGACAAAAAAGAGTACAAAACGAAATTATGCGGCATGGATATTATGTCCGTGCAAGTTGAAATGTGCATATATATTTATTCCACAGGAAAGGGAAACAACTGTTGAAGCTTCTACATATGGTTTCCACGAGACGCATATGCAGAAGTATATAGCACAATTTGGAAATGAATCTCAACATGTATCAGTGTTTCAACAAGAAAATGCTTGAAATGAGAAATTTCACTTCTGTGGACAGTAAGACTAAACCCCTGAAGATTTTTATCCCAACATTATTAATTCTTTGTGCAGTTCATTTTGAAAACGAAATCTTGTATCACCAAAATTGAGCCAACAAACACAGAGCATTCATGATACAGTAATAGTAGTTACACATATTAAAATCGAAAGCTAATGATGATTACATAATTGTGTTTCTCCCTGCGAAGCCAAAGATCATGGTTACCAGGAACAAAGAACACATGCTGAAACCTTTCTCTCAAAAGGGACATAGTGAGAACGAAATTCGAGCAAGTCTCGGCCACATCTCCTGCAACAATAAGAACATCTTTCTTGTATATATTGCTCGACAATGACCTCACCCAGGTCATGTTCTCAATGTAATCTGTGTGCAAGTCCGAAACTACAAATACCCGCGACCCAATTGTCTCTGGTCGCGCAGAAGGCAGAATCTGGGACCTTAAAATGCGGGAGGGAGAAATAATGCTTCTTCTTCTTCTTCTACTACTACTAATACTACGGTTTATTAAACCCAATCCATTAGAAAGACAGCTGAAATTTACATTTACTGGGTGCTGAGGCAATGGAAGGCAAGCAGAGTACAAGCAAAGAGCCATTTGTACCCAAAAAAAGACCTATATCAATGCAAATATTGATGTATAAGATGCAATTATACAGACCTATTGTTTCAACGGAATTGGATATATGTTCATCACTTCATTATCAGCAGATCCAAAATCCCTAATACTATGAACTGAAAATTCGCAAACTCTGGCTCTCCTTCTCTCACTCTATGAACACACATTGTGCACTGTCACCTGTGTGGAATTGAATCATTCCGGTTGAAGAGGCCAGGCGGCCCACGGGATAGCCACGTGCCTCCGCGGCTTGCTGACCAACTACTGTTTTTTTGGTTGTTTGCATCGACCCTTGATGAAATGCCAGATTTTTTGGTTGAGGTGACAACTTTAAATTGGCCGGTTTAATTTATTATTATTATTATTTTAATAATCAAGCCCCTGTTAGTTCCATTATTTAAAATTATAATGAAAGAAATAATATTTTTTTTTTTGTAGAATATGTAGTTAAAAATGAATGAAATTTTTTTAATTTACATGTAATATTACTTTATTAAAGAATATATGATTGATAAGTAGGGAGAAAATTAAATTTTAATTTAATGAAGGGTCAAACAAGGGCACGTGTCAATTAGCAATTTGTCAAATTGTTGGACTAAATTTCATGTACATATAACTTGTTTGAACAATTCCCCGTTGTCAGCACCTATTGGGCCTTTTTTTTTTTTTTTTTTTTTGAGTGAAATTCTGCCTTATGTCCACCAATAAACAAATTATGTCAAACCTATCTGTACGTGTAGCATGATTCCACTTGTTTTGGGGTCAAAAAAGTTTTTTTCACTGCTCACTATACCTTTCACAGTCTTGTTGAGCTTTAAAATTTTTAACAGTCGAAACTTCAAATTTTAGAGCTATTGAGAAATAATGTTTAAACTAAAATCCATCCTCTTGGATCATCAGTCACTTAAGAAAATAAATCAATCCACACTACTGGACTCGACAAGAACTAGGGATGACAATTGAATGAGTCGGGATTGAGTCAAGTCTATCATTCACATCCCACACTCCATCAAATATTTTTGTCTCTTACCCTGCCCCTATAATTGCTTAAGGTGGGGGCAGGGCGGGACGAGCAAATCTCCTGCCCAGTTTTACACCCCGTTTATTTATTTTATAATTGTTTTAGGTGGTGAAAATCGATACTTTTATGAAATTGTAGAAAATTGATAATTCCTCTAGAAAAAATAATAATTCTTTTTTTTTTTTTTTGAATGATACAAAACTTAGATTTTGAAATAAGCTTTAAATGGAGCGAGTAATAGGAACGGGGATGGGGATGGGGATGGGAAGGGCATGAATTCTCTATCTAATTGAATACATGGGATGGGGACGAGTATGAGAACGAGGACAGGGGTCTAGATTGTTGTGGCGGGGCTGGTAATAGGGATGAGGACCATGTTTCCTGTATCTGTCACATCCTATCTCAGGGCAATGGCCCCACCCCATCCTCGCCCTAAATCTTGAGTGTCCAATATAAAGGGTATGGTCAATCACTATAGAACTCATGGACCCGTTGAATTTGTAATCATACCTAACCAAATTGTAGATTTTCGACAATAACAAACTCTAGACATCTCCAGTGTCACCAAGCAAGTAAATATTTCAAATGTTGTAATTGGTAAAGACAACTCCGTGGAATCCTCCTTGAGCTATCCGGAAGCAATTGCTACTACCATTCCTCTTTTACATCAATATAAATTTCAATCCACTCTCCAAAGCATATGAAAGGAAGAGAAAAATATAATTTGTATAATCCAATAATTAAATCAATATAAGCATAAGATTGGCTTATTGAAAAATGTGTTATAGAAAACAAACATCAATGCAGGTTTCGTTTATTGAAAAATATGTCAGTAATCTCTCTTACAAATATTTTGAAAGATAATATGAAAGGACAAAAATTATATAAAATTATTTGGCCGAAGAAAGATTGTCATCAACGTGGCCTCATTGTTGGAAGAACAATGCTATATAACACGTATTTAGCACTAGTTTATGTGGCAACATAATGATATTTAATGATAAGTCTGATAAAATATAGGAATACAAAAAACCATTTTATTGAAAAGAAACAAAAACTTTTGCCAAATCCTTTCACAAAAGTACAAAAATCCTCCATGTTGAAGTCGAAGAGAAGATTAGAAGCAGAAGCGTACCTTGATCCATAGATGTGAGTGTTTTGAATGGGTTATGATCTTTCAATTGATACGTAATTCCTTAGAATATTCTTCTTTATTGATGGGGATGCAGAGAAAATGAAATCGCGTATAATTGGGGACCATGACCCCATGATAAATAACTGCATTATACAATTATCAATTTTATATTATTTCAAATTGGCCATTCATCAATTTAAATTAACCTCTTCCGGTCTTTGCACTTTATTCTCATGACATTTAATGCCCATTAGTCCAAAAATTGACTTTAATGAATTACTTTATTGACTAAGTCTTAAAGTAGCACCACACATTTTAATATATATATGTGTGGCCCCGTCGTTGGATTTTTTCCAACATGGATTTCTCTCATAATGGATAAATCATGTTTGCCAAATATTTATTCCATTTCTTAGGTTAGAGATGCTTGAACAGTGCTATGATATACTTAGGGTCTCTTTGATATGACTTTTACTTTTGTTTTTGCTTCCTGAAATGAAACTTCGGGTGAAAGCTACTTAATTTTTGTTTGAAAACTAATTTTCAAAAGAATTTCATATTCTGATAGTGCTTTTAGCCCCTGTTCGGTGGTCTTAAAATTTAAAAAACATAGTTTTGAATAGTATTTTTTTAAAAACATGTGTGATTTAAAAATAAGCAAAAGATTTTGATTTAACTGTAAAATATTTTATTGTATAAATATGTTGTTAAAAATGAATATGAGAAATAAGTTAAATGAAATGGAAGGAAATCAAATAGGAGCTTAGAGGAAGCCAAATTTGACTAACTTCCTCTAAAAGCTCATTTAATTAGAAAGACTTTCATTAAATTAGTCAAAAGTTTCAAAATAATTTTTGAATCTCAAAAATCATTTTTGACTTTTCAAAAGTCATGTGAAACTAACCCTTAAGTATTATTTGTTCTTTGTATGATTTTATGTTTCACAGCATGCCATATAGCAACCAATCTATGTGAGTACCACATAGATCGATGCTAACATTGGCGGATCTAGGGAGACTGGGCTGTGCTACAACCCAATTCATAATAAAAAAAATATTTTTATTTGTGATTTTTTTTGGCGTATTAGCCCGTCTTAAAATTTTCTCTGGATCCGCCCCGGTACTAAGCACCATTAGTATTCCATAGGATTATTCTTTGTTGAAATTACATCTACCCAGAATTTTTAAATGCACAATTCAAAAATCAATTTTGAAAGTGTTTTCTTTTTAATATTATACTAAAAGTACTTTTCAATTAAATTAATCTATATATCCTACCTACCTCTATCCACCCAAACCCTAATTATTTTCCTTTCCTTCCCTTTACAGCTCTCCCTTCTCTCTCTTTGAACGCTGGTGACCCATTCAAACTCTGACGATCGATGATGAAGCAACTGCACTAATCGATGCTGCTGGAATCGATGGTGCTAATGTTCACCGTCATGCTACTGCAAACGACAATGTTGTTGACCTAATGGTTGACTTCTCGTTTTGATTATCACAAACAAATTGCGCTTAATTTTAATAAATTAAATTTAAGTGTTGTTAGTAATTATTGAAGAATGAAAACACGAGAATCGAGATCAAGAATCATGCACATGGACGAACAACCTTTGGCGCCAAATGATGAATGCATAAGCAAGATTGAAGATTGACAAACATGGAAATGAAAATCGAGTCTCCTCAAACATTGAATTGGAAGAAAAGATTGAAGACCTTAGAGATATATGCATTTTTGTACTCAAATGTAAAGGTATAACTCTTCAATGTTTCACATCAACTATAGCTCAAACGATTTTTGTGCATGACACTTTTTCACAACAAACCATACTTGCATAAAAATCATTTTCAAAAGATAAGTATTCAATTTTTGTGATTAAATCTCTACATAAATACTTATCTACACAAAATAAATAACAATATCCTTCAAGCACGTTAGAGAAAATTCATTACGAATGAGGAAAAATAGAAGGGGCAAAAATTTGCCCATTCGAACTTCCGGATAGTTCCAACGATCGAATTTATGACCGTTTTTCAAATGGTTAGTTACCCTTTCGGATCCCAAGCAGGCGTCCAGATCTCGTGTCCGGATTGGCATATTTTTTGACCGTTTGATGGCTATAAATATCCCTTTCTCTACCTCATTTCAAACAACCATTATTGAGCATTTAAGAGAGTTATTTATTGATCTTTTCCACCTTGTTTCCAATCATTTATTTCTTAAAAAACTTTTTGAGTAATCGAACTTTACAAAAATCATATATCTCAACTAAAGTTTTTCATATAACACTTGAGCTATATTTTTTGTGAGTTATTGAAATGTTAAACCTAACTTTCTCTTGATTTTTAATTAAGTTCATGTCATTAATTAAGAGAGAAGCTTTTAATTGTAATTTCATTTTATTTTTTTTGGATTGTGGGTCGGTTGAGGTCCCGAAAAGTTCAATGGTGTAAAAGGATTGGTGCTCCTTTTTGTAAGTTACTGAAAGCGTTGTAAGAGTTATATTGCGCCACAAGTCAATCAAATTTAGTGAAAAAGGTATTGCTCATGATAGAGAACTTGGCAACAGAGGACGTAGATCGTGATTTGGATTGAACCCGTTTATTACATTGTTTTCGCCTTCCTTTCACTTCTACTTATTTGACTTGCGTTATTTTGTTTACATTTTGATTACTTGGTAATTGCTTAAATTTACATCTTATTTCGAAAAATATTTAAATAACCAATTCACCCTTCCTTTTGGTTAGTCGTTATTGGGCTTTCAAGTGTCACGATGCAGTTCGAACAACAGCGTCAACTGCTGCTACAACATCAACGACATCGGTGTCAATACTAGGGGATTTGGAGCTTTTAGGTGTTAATTTTTCCTTTTCCAGTAGCTATGGCACCACCGACTTCGGCGCCAGCACTATGGGTTTTGGGGTGTTATTTTCTTCCTCTTCTCGATTTGATCCGCTTAGTCAGAGTTTTTGCAATGGTTTTGATGTTGGTTGTTGGTGGTTACTTGTTTTCAACTATGCAAATGGTTGTTTTTAGTGGTGGTGGTGGTGATGGTGAGGTGGTAGTGGCGTTGGTGGTTTTTTTTTTTTTATTAATGGTGGTACAGGTTGTTGGTGGTGGGTTGCAAAATGGTGACGGTGGCGGTGCATTTC